AGCCTGGCCTAAGCATCTGGTGAGGCAGAGAACTTTTCCTGAGACGCTCCTGAGGCTGCTGCAGGCTGGTGCATCACAGCTGCCCAGTGACCAGAGGACAGAGGGCCCTGAGAGCACGGGGGAGGGGCAGTTCCCAGGTCTGTGCCAGGGGGTCTCCATGGGGAAGGCAGCATGTGACTGGATCTTGAAGGGGTGGCTCAGAGCTTACCAGGTGGCGGGGGAGCTTTCTGAACAGGGCCTGGCAGGGGACAAAGGACAGATAGTGGCAGTGCATGAAATTAGATAATGCCATGCACATGTCAAGTGCTTAGCATAATCTTGAGCATAGAGTAAGTGCTCATAGGTGTGGGTGGGCTTCCTTCCAAAGTGCCACACAGGGAAGTGCACCCCGTGTAGGAAGCGGTGGTCTCACGTGTGCAAGAAATAGACACGAGCCTTTGGGGCTGTCCCTTTCTGCCCTGCACGTGGAATCCACCACTCAAGGGGAAGTCTTTGTGGATTTCTGAGCTCATTGTTTGCATAGCTCCTCCTGCCCAGTACCTGCTCAGAACCCAATTCCAGATGCCTTGGAACTCCTGATTTCTATTTCCTACACCCTTGAGACCACTGCTTCCTGAATGGAGTTCATTTCTCTGTGTGGCAGTTTGGAAAGAAGCTCTGGGCAGGAAGCTGAGGAGGATCTGGAGCTCTGCTCTCCTGTGCCTGTGCAGTACGTGGCAGCTAGTGGCAGCTCACTAACAAATTCACTGGGATCCTCACACTGTCTATTAAGGTGTTTTTTTTTTTTGGAGGGAGGGTACTAGGGATTGAACTCAGGGGCACTCAACCACTGAGCCACATCCCAGCCCTTTTCTGTATTTTATTTAGAGACAGGGTCTCACTGAGTTGCTTAGCACCTCACTGTTACTGAGGCTGGCTTTGAATCCTTGATCCTCCTGTCTCAACCTCCTAAGCCTCTGGAATTACAGGCATGTGCCACCAAGCCTGGTGAGGTTTTAAACATTTCTATGTAAAAAACAAAACAAAACATTTCTATGTGTGGAAGAAGAAGGAGTGGACGTCACCGGAAGGACACCTGGCTGCCTTTGAGAAGCCTGCAGCTCTCATGCTGAGGCACACTCCTGTTTCTCCCTCCCACCCTGCTCTTCGCCTGGTGTTTAGCAACTGGCAGTCCTTTACTTGGAACTTGTCACAGCTTTGTCATTGGCCTGCTCTGGAACTTTGGACAAGTCCTCTTTTGTGGATTTCAACTTTGTCAGATGCAAACACAGGATTCAGTGTGTTTCCATCTCAAATCAGATCCATCTCAATCACTGCATTTTGTAAGAGGTAGCTCAGCATATTCAACCTCCCCAAATTCTGGGTTCAAATCCACTTGACATCTACATAGTCTTGAGCAAAGGACTTAGCCTTTCTGAGCCTTGGTTTTCTGGCCTAAAACATTTCAAGTGCACTTTGCTTGTGATGACAAAAAGAGGTAATACACATAGATCAAAATCCTGTATGTTCCTTTATTTGTCTCCTATATCTGTGGTTCTCAAATTTATGGGGCATCTGAGTTTGCTGGAGAACTTGGGTAAAGTGCATATCCCCCCCACCCCACCCCATCTCTGTACTGAATTGGTGGGCTCAGGTGGAGATGCACACTCTGTGTTTTTACAGGTTTTGGGTGGTCATACCTATCAGGTGGCCACTTCTGCACCAGCTTTTGTACCCTGACTACGTCAAGCACAGAACTTTGTACTTGCAAGTGTTCAAAAACAACAAAAGGACTGAACAGCTCAAGGCAAGAAAAACAAATGACCTGGGTTTCTGCAGGTCAAGCAATATCTCCAGGAAAGTGCTCAACCACAGTTAAAATGAGGCTTTCCGGAACGCCAGGCCTTTCCCAGCTTAGCCCAGCCCAGCCCTGCTGGAAAGTTCAGTGTGGTCAGATCATGTTTTTCGGCTCCCAGTTCTCCCCTCCTGTGGCTCTATTTTGACAGGTGTATCCAGGGCTGGCGCAGCAGAAGTTGCCAGCTCAGCCCTGGCCCTGGGGAGAGGAGCCGGAGGGAGGTCAGGAGGTTTGCCCAGCCCCATCCTGCACTGCGGGCAGGGAGAGATGGCGGGGTAGCTGGGGTGAGGTGAATGGGTGTGCAGAGGCTTCTGACTTCCAGGAAGCTCCTTGTATCCCTGAGGAGGCCCAGGCGTGACTTCAGGGCTTTGCAAATCTGGTGGGGATTAAACCTGCCTCAAGGACAGTCTGTGCTTCTAATCCAGTGACTGAAATTCCACTAGCTATCACCTTTCAGTTTGGGTTCAGACTTTATGGCCCCAGCCCTGGCAAGTTCCAGGAAAGCAACCAAGCTGAGCAGGAGGAAAAACGCTCAGTTACAATTGTTAGAATTGTGGGACCGAGAATGCAGCATGCCTGGCCCAGTGGAGTCAGACTGGCCCACTCTTCTGTTCTCGGATGAAGAAACTGAATGTCCGAGAGGACCTGTGGTCCCAGGATGAAGGGCCCAGCGGGGCAGAATCAAGACCTATCCTGCTTCCATGTCCACTGAGGGACCTCCATCGGGGACTAGTTTTCTACTCTGAGGCAAATCAGATCCATCTCAAAAGATTGATGAACGTATTGATTCCTGGAGTTTGCTTCAGGCTGTATGGATCTGACTGCCCACGCCCTAAGCCCCATGGTCAGCTCTTTGGAGTTTCAGTGGTATCCATAAAGGGCCACACTATGTGATGATGTGGGACAGAGAGAGGGCTGGGGGTGGGGGGCCCTTCCTGGGGAATGTGCAGCAGGAGCAGTTTAATGGTTCAAACCCACAGGGAGGTGGCTGAGAGCCGGAGTGGCAGCAGAGCCAGGGACATGAAGATCAAGTCCTGGGTGGGCATGCACACCTCAACCTTCCCAGGCTTTGGCTTCTCACTTGGAGCCAAGGTGTGAGGCCTGACGACTCACCAGGTCTCTCCCACAGTACGGGGGTCATTTGGGAATAAGGGTGTGCAGGGGTTCACATTCTGGCCCTCATCTGCAGAGGAGAGTGGTGGTGCCCACTGAGATTCCAGAAGCTTCATATTCATGAAGTGAGCGTCCTCTGGACAATGGTGGGTGTTTGTGGAGTGTCGACCATTTCCAGGTGCTATAGGTTGAATTCTGTCCCGAAAGATTCATAGGATGAAGCCCTAACCCCCTGATTATCTGGAAATATGGTCTCTAGGAGGTAATGAAGGTTAAGTGAAGTCATAATCTGATAGGAGGGTGGCCTTGTGACAGAGGAAGTTCGCCTGGTGCCATGTGAGAAGGTGGCCATCTGCAAACCAAGGAGAATGAGTTACCATAAACGGGATCCCCTACTCCCTCCTCCTTCCCCTCTGTGACTACAGCTCATGGCATCAGGGTAGACACTGACGCAGGGTTAGTAATGGAACTGGGAACTCATCTAGGAACTGGGAATTGGTAGTTGAAACGCTAGGTCCACTGGTGGCAAACAGTAGCCCTGTTTTACTGGGCCTTGTGCAAACAGAAGCTGCTGGGCACAGGAAAGAGACAGGTGCCCAGAGATCAGTGGTCACTGACAGACAGACGAGAGACCAGCAAGTCCTCTGGGGTGAAGAGAAGAGCGGTCAGTGCTGACAGCTTTCCTCCTGCTAACCATGGACTCAGAGGACTTCCGTTTCGGTAGTCCTGAGTTCACCTGCTGTGGTCACCCCAGGAATGCCCCTTCTTCATTTCCTTGATGGACCTTGAAGAGCCCCCTGTGACTGCACAGGTATGTCTAATGTCTTCCTCTGCCCTGTGTCCTTAGATCAAGCCACACAGCCAGGGACAAGTTAGTGGCAACTGCCCAGGTCTCATGGGTCTTTCTTATGTCTTTGCTCTTATGTTCTCAGATCTACTGTTTTGATCTTTGGGGTCTTGTGTCTCCTTCCTGGCCCCAAACTTGGCCCTTGGATTTGATCTAGCTTTTGGGAGCAGTTTGACTCTAGGTCTTTGGCTGGCCTCACACTCGAGCTTTTCCTGCTCCTCCTGGGAGAGTTCTCCATCTACCCACCACCTGGAGTTCCCTGGAGGTTCGCTTGGGGCTGTGGGCTGAATCCACCAGCACGTTCTGCTTGTTCTTGTGCCTCCACCTGAGGTCACCTTCCCAGACCTCCCAGTCTCACTGCCAGACTTGCCCCAGGACTCTTTCCACCCAGCCCTGGCCTGTTCTCCTTCCTGCTCTAGATAGGGAGCCAGGTTCACTGTGTGCTCCTCACCCCTAGGTGGGTGGGCTTCGGACCTCACTCACCCAGGACCCCCAAAGCACACAGTGACCCTCAGTGCCACACATCTCAGGTTCTGGTGGGAGGGGCCTTCATGCCACACAGATGGCCAAGGGGCTGGGAGACCTGCGTATGGCGGCCCCATTCAGCCTCATTCCTGTTCTTCTACCTTTTTGTTACTTCCTCTACTAAGCACCCTACCACCACCACCAAAAAAAAAAAAAGTGACCCGTGCCCTGGTTGGCACTAGACTACGTTCTGCTAGTGAGTGAGGTTACTATGCCGTACAAATCTTCCTGGAGCAGGCCCTGGCTGACTTCCAGGGGCCCAGCTGGTCTCTGTTCCAACAGAACCTGTGGACCCAGGCCTCTTGGGGCAGGTCTGGCCTGGTCTCTTCCTCCTTTTCTCTTCCCTCTCCTTGTCTTAGAGACAAAAGAGGAAAAGATGAGGGCTCCCTCAGGTGCCCAGGGCTCTCCTACTTCCCAGTTTCATCTTAGCCGAAGAGCTACAGGGCCGTGCGGTAAGACTCACGGGGCTCGCTGACCCCCGCTTGGCTCCTGCCCTCTGGGGGTGGCTCCCCTGAAAACCACTGGGAACTTCTCCCCCCCCCAAAAGCCCAGCACCTCTAGAATGAGAGGCCAGGGGTTTAGATCCAGGCTCACAGTGGGACCCTTCAAAGATCAATGTGAAGCAAAGCCCTGAAAGATCACGTCCCCCGGTTGGGCAGAAAGAACTAGAAGACACCTCCCTTGTGGAGACAGCTCTTTACTGGGTCGGTAATATCATGTTGCGTGGCAGTATCATGTAGACGGAGAGTTACATGGCAGTGGGGGGGGGCGGGGCGGGTGGTACAAACCAGTTGCACATCTGTATTGACAAGGAAGCTGCCCTGTAGGCTTGGGGCAGGAAGAGGGCAGGTCTCTGAGGCAACGTTGGGGAGGAGACAGCTCCATGCTCCACCCAGGGGTGTCTGAATCTGCTTGACATGAGGAGGAGGGGAGCTTTACAGTGCGTTTGACCAACTCCCAGTGTCGCCTTCTGCCAGTGTGTGCAGGAGGTTGACGGAGGACGTGGGGTAACGTCAAAGATGCCGCCTGTAGCTGTCCAGGCTCTTCCCACACCCGGTCCCCTTGCTGCTTATTCAAAGGAGACTCAGCCCTTCTGAGTCACAGTGCCCAGTGCTTCTAAGTCTGTGTGCAGCTGGGGGCAGGAGGCAGAAGTCGGATGTGAGAGGCGAGAGTCACCCTGTTGTTGGGATGGGCCCTCCTGCAGCCTGGTCCCTGGCCACCACAGCTGTGCCCCTTAGAGAACAGGGCACACCAATCATGGGTGGATCAGGGGGTGGCTTTGCCGAGAGAACCCTCAAGCCTGCCTCTGCCTTCCCTCTCTAGCTCTGAGGCCTTCCTAGGGAGTTTTTGGCATTGATGCAGAATGCTCCAGGGCCTGCTGGTCTCCCTCCCTACAGATGCACCTACTGTTTGGATTCCCTCTGGGCTGCTCCTCAGAAGCAGAGGCAAGATTGAAGTAGGGAGTTGTCTAGACAAAAAGTTGATCTTTTCAGGGGCCCTGTGTGCAGGGCCTTAAGATGCCAGGGCGGGCAGAGTCCCACGGCCCTGTGCAAGGCAGGGCAGCATCCTGATGACTCTGTCCCTGTGACTATGGGGAGGGGCTTGCTATCATCAACCCACCTTGTCTCTGGAGTTTTAATTATAATGCCCCACTAAAGATTTGCTGAGTCTTTTCAGACAGGGGGAGCCTCAGGGAACTGGGTTGCGTGAGTGAAGACACTGGACAGACGGGAGCTGGTCACCATTCAGAGACAGATTCAAGACCTTCTTCCTGAGGTAGCCACAGCCCTGGCAGGCCCAGTCACAGGAGAGGGGGCTGTCCGCCCTCTCCTCCTGCCTAGCCAGGGAAACCCCGTCGGCCACCCTGGCCAGCAGGGAAGCGTGTGTGCGTGTGTGTGTGTGTGTGTGTGTGTGTGCGGATGTTGCTTTCCTATGGTACAGTCACTTTGGGGAGCCCAAAGCTGCAGTATCAACTCTGGGAACACCCGTACATCAAAATCAAAGGACCACGATCTTCTGTGGCTTTTGAGCTGCCCTGAGCTCTCTTCCCCTTCTGCTGTGGCCATGTCTGGGCCAGGGACCCTTCTCAGTAGCGGCTCTGACTTCCTGGTGGGCCTGGGGGACCAGGTAGGCCGGGAGGACCCTGGATCCCTGGTTCGCCCTTCGGCCCCGTAGCCCCCCGCTGGCCTGGCGACCCTGTCTTCCCTGCAATCCCTGGTTTTCCCTGAGGCCCGGAAGGCCCTGGAGACCCTGGAGGCCCCTCTGGTCCTGGGGGTCCCACATCACCTTTGGGGCCCGGCTGTCCCCTTGGCCCTCCACTGCCAAAGCTGCCCTTTGAGCCTTTGAGGCCAGGGAAGCCTCGTGGACCACCTGGCCCCCTTTCTCCTGTAGGTCCAGGCTCCCCAGGTTGTCCCTGAGGGCCCTGGGGTCCCGGGGGGCCTAAGCTGCCAGGGTCTCCTTTTGGTCCTCTGCCGCCAAGAGGTCCTTTCATGCCTACATCTCCTTTGAGTCCTCTGGGTCCTGGAGGGCCGGGGACACCTGGGATGGGAGAGAAGAGGGGACATGTCAGTCATGAGAAGCTGTCCTCACAGTTCCCTCAAACAGGGTGGAGCACAATGACAGAGCGGGTCACAAGAAGCCCAGCCCGGGCTGTCACCACTGGGCGTTCAGGCCATCGCTCCACTGTTTGGAGGGGGGCATAAGAACAGCAGCTTCCGTGTATGACCTGTGAGGGTGGCCAGCGAGGCCTGGTGCACGGCCAGTCTCCTTATTGTGACTTCTAGGCCCTCCTGCGGCTCTGCACAGGGACCACAAGAGCCAGACTCCACTTGGGGACCACAGGAACCAGACTGTGCTGGGAAAAGGCCAAGGTTGTCTGGGGGTGACTGTCCTGCTCTGGAGATTGGTCTGGCCTTCGACACCTCCTGTGGTTTTTGCCTGCTGTCCCCACCCCCTGACCCAACCCCATGGCCTCTCATGCAACTGGGAAAAGGGTTGGAGTCTGGTCACAGGGAGGAGAAACCAAGAAAGTAAGGCATGGGGAGCAGGAGAGTCCCAGAGAGGGTGAGGACGCAGAGTGGGTGAGAAGGATGCAGAAGAGGAAACCAAAGAGGCCGGGGAGCGCGAGAGGTGGAGGCGGCAGGCAGAAGGTGACATCCACCAGGATGCAGAGGCCCCCGTTGCCACAGAACTGGATTTTGGCAACTCGGAGAGCTCCCAGCTCCCAGCGTTCATCAGCCCTTCCCCTAAGAGGCCACCCGCGGTCCACTTTCCACTCAGGAAGCCATGCGGGTATCACTGCACTCCCTGGGCTTCAGTTGACTCCTCTCTTGAATGAAAGATTTGGACTAGCTTCCATTTAGCTAGAGGATTTATATCCCATGCTAACATAAATACATTTTACTGTCATGTAAAACTAAAAAGTACCCAATTTTTTCAACTTATAGGATTCTACAGGAACAGAGTGATCATGGAGCCTTGAAATCCACAGCCCCCATAAACCCTACCCACTGACCCTTGCACAGACCACAGGAGAAGCAGCTCTGCCCGGGGCCCTGGTCTAGTGATGGCTGAAGCTGTTCTGCACAGAGGCCATCCTCATGCAACCAGACAATTCTCTTTGTGCTCCTGGGGCATTCTAACGTGCCTGGGCAGAGTGACAGTCCCTTTCTGCGGTGTGTCCTCAGGTTGGCACAGCTCTGAGAGGTGCTAACCTTCAGCTGGAAGAACATGAGGTCATCTCACCTGTGGCACGGGTGCCCTTTATGTGTGGCTCCATAAGGAAGGCCGTGAGTCCTTCTTCCCCAGGCCCCAGGCCAGGGCCAGCCGTGTAGCAGGGGTCCACAGCTGCCTGGGGGACCACCCTCTTCGAGCATATTATTGAGTTTTCTGGACTGCGTGCGAGGCTCTGCGCCTAGGGTAGGGGCGCGAGTCATGGCCCACACTGTCTTTCTGGGGCTCCAGAATCTAGCAGCGGCCACCAGAGAGGAACCTCGCTTTGGCGTTCACTGCACTGTGGCTTCTCTCTCTATGTGTCAGCCCAAGATTCAGACGTAGTGGCCTCAAGAGCTCAGAAAAGAGACTGGAGCTTCAGGGCAGGCTTCCTGGAGGAGCAGCCTGTCTCTGGGCTGTCTCTCTGCGTCTTCACCCTCTCTTCCGCCTCTTTGATTTCCTCTTCTGCCTCCTTCCCACACACCCTTCCGTGTGGAACAGCATCAGTGAATACTGTCCTCTATTATGACTGACCCTGGAAATCAGAGCTCAGACAGAGCCAGCCCCACCAGAGCCAGCACAAACCTTCGCGCCTGTTCTCTGCCACCGCCTACCATGAGGATGTGGGCCTGCATGGCGGGCTCTTGTGGTACGCCAGCAGCAGAGGCTTAGATTCAGTTGTTGGTTGGCTGAGGGTTGGGGGCAACTGGTGGTAGATGGCCCCATCTCACCTTGGAGAGGACAGGAGACAGGACCTTCCCTCTGGTGCCCAGCGAGCCCCTGGCAGCTAGAGCAATGGGCACAGGCAGGTGCCCTCAAGGGGCTGCCTCCCTCAGCTGGCAGACCTTGCTGGCCACTGGCAAAGCCACGGCTGCTGTCTTCATCTTAACTCTCCTCCTGGCACCTGGGCCAGCTGAGGTTTGGAAAAGCAGAGAGCCATTCAGAGGCAGTGAGGCCCATGAGGCTATGCGAGGGTGGGGGCCGGTGAAGTCCCTCCCCATTCCAAAACAGAGTGCAGTTGAGAATTGCACTTAATGCAATCGAGACTCCCCATGAGTTGCACTTAATACACACAATTAAGTTACACATAATATAATTAGCACAATTGTGTTGCACTTCATACACCTTAACATATGAATCAGTGCCACTGAGGGTCACCCTTGGCAGTCTACTTGTGTCGCTGTAGCTCTCTCTCCCCCCTCCACCCTTCCCTCTCTGACTGGGCACTCTCCCCTGCCTCTGCCCCTGCTCCTCCACAGTGGCTTCTTTGGGCTTGTCCTCGGCCTGCCCTGGGAACTGGGGTTCCTCTAGGACCTGCCCCAGCTCCCTGGTTCTCCATGCTCTCTGCCCTTGACCTCTGGGTGGAAGCGGCCACAACCCACCTCCAGCCTGAGCAGTCTCCCCAGGACCCGCTGACATCCCTCATGCTCTCCCCAGGACCCATTCCTGCTGGTGCCACCATCTTTGGTGGGCGACCTCTCCTTCCTGGCCCAAGGGACACAGTGGCTGGGAATGAGGGCTTTTAAAGGTCTCCACACCAGCAGCAGAGGAGAAAAGGCAGAGACACACCCCTCCTCCCCCAACCAGCCCCACTTAGGCTCCTCTTTCTAGGGCAGTTCCATATTGTCTTTGAGGAGAACCAAATGTCCACGCTCTCCTGCTGGATCTTTGCAGAAGTCTCGGTCACAGTACTCACTTCATTGCCCCAGGTATGGATTGCCCAGCTGTGGCTGCCACTGCTGACCCCATCTCTGAGCACCCGATGGGGGTGGGTCTTGAGAAACTGGATATCAAGGAGATCAAGTGGAGGGAGGTGGTCAGGGCTGGGCATCTGCATGGGCTCCTGACAGGTGCCCTTGCTACAGACACGGGAAGGAAAGGGTTGTGAAACAAGCTAATATTTGTCAGCATTTGTCAACTCTGTCTGTGGTGTGGCTGGCATTAGGTGGTGGTTGTCACTTTAGAGGTGATAAACCACTGTGCACAAGGTGGGAACTTGCCCAAGACCCCTAACCAGATGTTGTGGAGCCAGGATGCCACCCGGGCCTGGGAGACTCTGAGGCTAGGGTCCTTCCCCTATGTCCCCGCTGTCTCCCCGCTGCCCCTCATCACTGTGGCAGTGACCCCTGGGCCTCTCCCAGCCTCCCAGGACCAGGACGACCAGTCTGGGAGCTTCTTGGAGGAGGGAGAGGGCCCCAAAGCCTTGCTCTGAAGAGTGTTGAGTGGTCCCTATGGAGTGGGATGGGCACTCAGAAGGCAGGTCCCCTGCTGCCCCTCTGGACGGTCATGAGTTATGAGAATTGTAAAGTGTGGGACCTGGTCTGTCTGGGGACAAAGTCAACAACCTGAAGTTAGCACAGAGGGCAGGAAAGTGGCTGCAGGCTGACCAAGGCCATCTCCAGGACAGTGCCCCTGCCCCTTCCAGTGGTAAACAATGGGGTGAGGGTGAGGCGGGGAGGGTTGGCTGCCACTCTCAGCAGAGGGGAGACTTTTCGGGCCAAGGAGGAAACTCCGGCAATGGTGGCTGACGTGTGAGCGGGGACAGGGGACCAGAGTACTCTGGAGTCCTGGGGAGGCCCATAATAACGCAGGAAGCCACAGGCTGTAATTAGGCTGTCAGGCCCATTAGGGTCCAGCCACAAGTGACTGCATGTCTGAGATGAGTAGGGTGGTCAGTCTGTGGTCTGCACTCCGGGTGGGAAGGGGCCGCGGGGGCAGCCAGAGGATCCAGTTTCTCAAGATACTGACACTGCTCACCCATGGGTAGGTTGGAGCATGGGCAGGAGGACCCCCTAGTGCCTCTCACAGTCAGCTTCCCAGGGTAGAAGGAACTAGAAAAGTGAGGACTGGCCAGTGGAAGGCGTCCTGGCCCGGGCGTGGGGGGCCAGGCTGGAGTGCCAGCTCTGGAGGTAGCACCTGGTGGCTGGGCTCAGGCTCCTGTTTCGTGAGAATATTGGCCTGGGCCAGGGATTCTTGGTCCTGGCTGTGGTCACCTAAGGAGATCCGAAGAGCTGTTGTGGACCGGCATCCCTGCCTAGATGGACGGGTTTGTGACAGGCTAAACCTCCTACCAACAGCAGCCAGGAGGGTGAGGGAAAAGCCGAAGCAGCTTTCTGAGGGCCACCAAAGGCTGAGATACAGGAGAAGGGGCTCGCTGAAGCCACCTGACATCACCGCGGCTGCTTTCCCCCAAGGCTTCTGGGGCTAGTGACTGGTCTGGGCAGAGAGGCCGAGATGTCCAACAAAGGGTTCAGCTCTCAGGCTGAGGTGCTGAGCAGAGCTCCCAGTGGCTTCCCAGCCTCTCTTCCCTGACATCTGGCCACAGCTCCTGCCTCCAACAACAGAAAGAGGGGGCCACTCTGCTTTTCCTGTCTCAACAGGCAAACTCCTGGGCCCTCGGGGTGTGGGGTGGAGGCGGAGGCCATGGAAAATGTTTGCAAATGTAATCCCTCCGCACCTCGCCCCTCCTGACCACTCTGGCTTCTGTCCTTTGTTCATATTTTAATTGATTGATTTATCAAGCAAACTTTTCTTGAGTACCTTCCGGAGGCCATGCACTCAGCTGAGGGTTTCTGAGTAGAACGAAGAGCCTGTGCCATGAAACAATTTTGCTTCCTATCAACCCCTTGCACTAGGACACCCTTTCTTAGTTTATAGGACCTTGTTCAAGCTCACTGTTACCAGTGATCCTTGCAAACACCCCAGGGAGAATAGGCACGGCAGGAATTAATATTCCTATTTGTGGTGGAAGAAAAGGTGTTGAAAATAGCCAAAGCTGTGCCTCAGGTGGCTCAGTTAAGGAGAGGTGATGGGTTTCCTCTTCAATTCCCAAAGGATAGTCCTAGCTTAGATAGTGTGTAGCACAGACACAGAAGTGACCCTGGAGAGTAGAAGAGATAAAGGCTCTAGAGGACAGACACCCTGGGAGCACCAGGGGCTTTCTGGTGAGTCAGAGGAGGCTTGGGATTAAAGCTGGAATCGGTCTCAGAGATGGACTGGTCCTACCCCTTCATTTACAGAGGACAAAGAGCAGAGGTCCAGACAGGTGGCGTGATTCTGCCTAGAGACCCAGAGCAAATTAGAAGCCCGGCTCCTCCCCTTCATCAGCACTCGGCACCTCCCTTGTTGCCTGAGGCCACTGTCATCCTCTCCCTTCATTCTAGTCAGCAGTGCAGCTCTGGCAGGGGGGGCCTGTGGGTGAATGAATAAGTGACCAGGTCCCTGTGGGATGGGATGTGCATTGTGATCCTGAATTTTTTTTCATATGTGGGAAATTTTACATATGGTGGCGTTGATGACCAGGAGGTATGTTGTGTGATAGATGCCACTTGAATAATTGCTCAGAGGCTGAAGTGAGGGTCGCGTGGAGCTGAGATGTCCCATTTTGCTCTCAGGCTAAGACGAGGCCCTCTGATGAGAACTCTACCACGGTCAGGACAGAAGCCACTGTTAATCTGCAAGGCCATTCTCCTGTCAGTCCTCTTAGTACTGTCTCCTTCTCCATTCTGCACCTGAGCAGGACCTCAGCAGAAATGTCTCAGGGTGTGTGCAGCCTTAAGCGCTCAGCATCTCCCTTTCTGGGTAAGCAACGGATGTGTGCATCTAAGAACTACAGTGAGGGGTCGTGGTGACCTTGGCTCATTCCTCAACCACCTCCTCCCGCTCTCACCTGCCTTCCTATGAAACAGAGACACCAACATCTGTCTTTCTACTGCACGGTAGTCCCCCCTTTTCTGCAGAGGGCGTGTTCTACAAGCCTGAAGCCAGGGATGATACGGAAATCTATATACACTGTTTCTTCCCATACAACTATACCCACGGTGAAGTTTAGATTATAAACCAGGCTCAGGAAGAGAGTAACAACAATAACTAATAAAATAAGACAACTATAACCAAAATACTATAGTAAAAGCTATATCACTGTGGTCTCTCTCTCTTAAAATAAGAAATTTCTCTCTCTCTCTCTCTCTCTCTCTCTCTCTCTCTCTCTCTCTCTCTCTGCTATTGACTGTGAACAACTGAAACCACAGTTGCTGGGAGAGCACTGTGTTGGGTCATTGTGAGGCTGACATGTAACAAAGTGTGCAAAAGGTCTTTGTCGTCCATAAGAACTGTCGACTGACGCCGTCCACTGGAACGTGGCTCCTTAGAAGATACACCCTTTAGGCAAAGTACTGTGCGAAGGTTTCAGTTTCCATCAAAATACTCAGTATCTGGCTTAGTTGCAAAAATAAAAATAACAATGAGCAAAAACAGGATCTCTCTCTCTATATCTCACTAGTCTACATCAAAGAAAAACAGCCCTAGTGGCAGAAGAAATGCTCAATGGTGTAAAAGGGAGTCAACAAAGATTTGGAACTTAATGGACAAAGAGAACCAGCGGGTCAGAAAGGTTGGTGCTAAGCCTGAGTTTTGTGGAGAGGAGAGTTTGTCTTGGATCCTGAGGTCCTCCGCCTCTCTCTTGGAGCTCCCTGGATGACGGGGCCAAGACATTTAGAACCACCAGGTCACAGCGCCTACTTATCCTGTTCTCTAGAACCAAGATCTGCTGAAATTTCCCACAGAGACAAACCCTTTCTGGGGATGGAATCAAGGAGTCATCCGGGTTCCTGGTGTAGGGGAACTCAGTTTAGGAGTCTTTTCAATATGAATCTAAGGGCAGCCTGAGGGTTCAGTGCCTGGGAGAAGGAGTCAGTCTGCTGGGGTTTGGTGGAAAGAGGACCAGAGTGGGCAGCCTTGGATTTGAGTCCTGGGTCCACTCCTTGCCTGGGGACACCCAAGGAGTTAGAAAGGACTCTAACAGGTTTGCTGGTGAGCTGGACCTGTCTGAAGCATGGACCAAAAGGTGACCCCCTAGAAAATGGGTTAGAAGTGCCAGACCTGCCCTGGATACTGTGGAGGAAGGAGACAAAGGCTAGGAGACTGGACTGTCCAAGTGGCTTTGTTATTTGAGACTTACACACACTGGGCAGGACTTCGGGACCCTGGCTCTGAGCTGATGCTGATTCCAGGCAACCCAAAACATCCCTGTGGCCCCCGAGTCACAGTAAAGGCTGTTGGAGGTCGGGTGGTCTTCAATCTAGATTGGTGGAATGAAGGGGGGGGGTCTCCTGTTGTCTAACTCACGGTGGGGTCAGTGGACCCTAGACCCGTCCTGTGATTTCCCACCACATCCAGTTTCAGGGTGTGCAGTGGGCCTAGATACACCCAGAGTTGGCAGAACCCCCAGGTTGGCTCCCTGACCAGGGAGCGAGGGCTCTGTCTCCACCAAGGAAAGGGGTACACCAAAGGCAACGCTGCACTGCGGAGGCCACAGGAAGGACTGGAAAGGCGAAGGGACGCTGATGCCCACTGTGGCCCCACTCAACTCTCATTTCCCTGTGCAGAGGACATCTGGATCTTGGAGAAGAACAGTGGATTTTTATAGGCTTAACCAGGTGGGGACTTCCACTGCAGATGTTGTTTCATTGACTTTATATCTTAGCATTTAAATGTTGTCAACTTCACATCATAGTATTTGAGTTATGGGATGTGAAGAGAAAAGTAAAAATCACTCTTCTTCTGGGGAAAGGGTTAGGGTGTTTTGGGTTGTATACAGGATGGTTGTATCACTGTACATAGAAGTATGACCTTGCTATTGTCTTTTTTTGGCTATTAAGTGTGCTGATCTCAGGAAATGTGTATGGCTGCCAAATTGACAAGCAATAACCTTTTTAAAATTTTTTTTTGGTGCTGGTGATTGAATCCAGGTGTATTTTACACCTATATCCCTGGTCCTTTTTATTTATTTATTTATTTTAAATTTTGAGACAGGGTCTTGCTAAATTGCCCAGGCTGCCTTGAACTTGGGATCCTCCTGCCTCAGCCTCCCAAGTAGCTAGGATTACAAGCATGTGCCATGGCATTTGGCTCACGGGATGGACTTGTCATGGTTAATTTTAAGTATCAAACTTACTGGAATGTGGGAAGCCTGGGTATTTGGTCAAACATCAATTTGGGTATTTCTGTGTGAGTAATTTTGGATAAGATTGACATGTAAATTGAAAGACTCAGCGAGACAGATCGCTTTCCCTAATATGGGTGAGCCTCATCCAAGCAGTTGAAAGCCTGAGTAGTAAAAACTGACTCTCCCTTCAGTAAGAGAATTTTCTGCCTTACAGCTTTCCAACTGGGACATCAGCTCTGCAGATTATGCACTTGTCAGCCTCCAAAATCACATAAACCAATTGCTTATAATATCTGTCCATCTATCTATCCATCCATCCATCTATCATATTTATAATCTACATGCTATTGGTTCTGTTTTTCTGGAGAACTCAGAGAAACACACTAGTGTATGTGGGGTATAGGACGAGAAGGGCACCTCAGAGTGAGGAGCCTCTGAGGGGCAGTAGCTGGACGGACAGATGAGGGCATTAATGAGAGAGTGGGAAAGGAAAAAGACAGAAGCAGACAGTTTCTGAAAGCCAAGGCCTACCTATTTCTCTAATGGGCCCAAGTAAACAAATACATATATAAAAACCCACGTGTGTATGATAAGCAAAGTTAGAAGCCACCAAAACTTTACAAAAGGGTTTTGCAAGGATAGTTCCTAAGCTGCCCGCTGCCTTAGGCACGTGCTACAGGATTGTGCCAGCCTGCCAGGATTTTAGCCTAAAACCAGGTGCAAGAGCAGAAAGGCCCTTGAGAGCTGGGCAGCAGCCCTGCCTGACCTGCCTCTTACCTCGAAGGATGGTGACATTGCGAAGGATTGCCCCGTGCTGCGTGTCCACAGCCTTCATCTCCTCCACGATCATGGAGAGGTTGCGGACGTTGAAGTCCAGCCGGGCGCTGAGCAGGCTGAAGCGCTCCCGGAGCAGGTCCGTGGTGCCCAGCATGAGGGAGACAGACTTGTTCAGGTAGTAGAGCTCCTCCGCGTGCGTGTGGAAGCCCAGCGTGCAGGAGAGCCGCACATCGTCCAGGTACTTGAGCATGCTGTGCACGTGGTTGTCGGTGGCATTGATGTTGGTGAAGATGGTGCCGATTTCAATCTCGTGGGATGTCATGCGACCCTCCAGCGACTCGAACCTCTCCACCGTGCGGTTCTGGGCGTAGCGAGTGTGGTACTGGAGGTCATGCATGTTCTCCTCATGGTCGTCCAGGAAGGATGAGATGTTGTCCAGCTGCAGCCGCAAGCCCATGACCTGCAGCACCAGGTCATGCATGCTCTCGGAATTCTGGCTGATGCGCTGCGAGGAGGCCCCCAGGGTGGCCTGAATGTTCTTGACCACTTCTCCAGTCTTGGCCGAGGTGGTGCGCAGGCCGCCGAAGAGCCGGGTGTAGTTCTGCCAGTCGGTGACAATCTTCTGGAGGGTGAGGGTCTCCTCGTCCGTCTTGCGCTGGATCCCGTGGATCCACTCAGAGTTCTGCCCCACGGTGAAGTTCATCTGGTGCACAGCAGCCTTGACATCATAGCACTCCTGGGTGAGGTCCTTCAGAGAGAGGTCCAGGCCAGTGGTGGTGGCCTGCCAGCCCCTCACCTGTGACAGGAAGAGCCCCAGAGACTGGTTGACTTGGTGGGCAGAGAAGGAGCAACCGCCCATCTCCTGGGAGATTTGGTTGCTGGTGGTGGAGAGCAGTTCATGGGCCTGCGAGGTCTGGTCCAGCTGGACCTCCTGGGCCAGAAGCATCTTCTGAAGGCCCTCCAGCTCTTCCTGAAGTCTCCTGATCTCTTGCCCCAGCTGCCCAGCCTCGTGGCAGAAAGAGCAGTTGTTCAAAGCTTTCGGGTCTTCAGGAGAAAGGGACAACATTTTGAGTTGCTGAAGAACCGTGGGACAATGGTGCTTCTTTAAACTAAACATTTCAGAGAATAATGACCGGGCAAGGGGCTTCCTTTCCTAAGTTTGCTATGAAATCCTTCTAGAAAGCCTTGCCATCTCAATGGAATTTCAATTTTTACCAAATACCCTTAATCATAGGATCTGAAATGAAAGATTCAGGATGTTTTCTCCACCCCACCACCACATTCTCAAGAATAGATCTTAGTGCTTTCTCTGAGGTGGCCAGGAACCTCCTTTTTGTACTTTATTTTAAAATTTCTTCAGTTTTTTTTAATCCATTATTCGACCCTCTCACAATATGTTTGTGGGAAGATAGAGTGGGGATTTTCGCCTTGTGACTCATGAGGAATGGGGCACAGAAAGGTGGCTTGCCCGATAGCACTCAGCCAGTTAGTGGCAGACCAGGACTTTCCATGCCACTTGTATTTTTATTTATTTATGTTGGCAGTACGAGGGTTGGACCCAGGGGTGTTCTACGACTGAGCTACAATGCCAGCCCTTTTTATTTTTTATTTTGAGACAGGGTCTTGCTAAGTTGCCAAAGCTAGCCTTGAACTTGTGATCCCCTGGCCTCAGCCTCCCAAGTCGCTGGGATTACACCTGTGCACCACCACACCTGGCTGCATACCACCTCTAAAACATTCCACCATGGCTCCTTTGCTTTCCTTCTCTCAGGACGTTCCTGGCTAAAGCTGGGGATAGAGAGCATCAGGAATTGTGCTGTGGCTTAAGTCAGGGATGAGGAGGGGCTGACAGGTAAGGGGGCTTTGGAAGGCCTTAAAAATCATTTTGGGGAGCTGAGGATGTCTTTCAGTGGCACAGTACTTGCTGGTAGATGTGAGACCCTGGGTTCAATTCCCAGCACCACACACACACACAAATCATGGCCCCGAGTGAGGATCGTTTGGGAGTGGACTACACTTGGCTTCCTTCTGTACCTTAGACTCTGCCTAGATCTGCCCATGCAGAACACCCCTCTACAGTCCTAGGCGAAGCCAGGAAGCAGCCTTCTTCAGAGGGGAGAGGAGCCGTGGCTGTCCTGGTCTTGTGCCCAGAAGGTTGGCAAAGCCTGCCCCGAACCAAGCCCATGGCACAGAGGGAGGGACCTGTCACCCCATGAACCTGGTCCAACGTGATCAGCACAGCTGTGCACTACATGCTCACCCAGTCCTCGAAGGTTTTCCTGCATTGATACAAGCTTCTTGTCATAAATGGACTGGACCAGGGAGATGTCTTCTGAGAGAGAATCCACTTTCCTAAAAACTATAGGGAAACATGAGAAATGGGGCCAGAGTCTTGGATCAGAGAAAACAGCGCTCATTGGTTGAGAAGGTATTTTTATCAGCCCTCTGCAAGCAACACCATCCACCCTTCTCCTAGGAGGCTTCCCAGTAAGGGAAGGTGCTTAAGATTAAAGTTTGAAACACATTCCTTTAAAAAGATATTTCATGCCCCCACCCCAGGTTTTAGAAATAGGACTTGTTCATATGATAGAATAGGGAAATTTCAGAAAAAATAAAAGTTATTCTTAATATTGCACTCAGAAATTGCTGCAGCAATATCTCTGTGTATTTCTTGTAGCTGTGTTTACATCAACACGCATCATACATCTACATAGATAAATACTGTTTTAGAAAACAAGCAAAATTGGGATGTTCTGAATATTCCATCTATTTTCTCTTACTCGCCCCTTATTGGTAACATGTCATGGGCATTTTTCCATCAAGGCGTAAGTCACTTCAGAATCATTCCTTTTAGAGTCTGCATGGTCCTCTATGTAAACGGAATAGCAGTGACAAATATCTCCTGATGCTGGGTACACTTAAGTTACCTTGTCTTCTGAGCTTATAAATTCAATTGGATCTGTGATTATGAGTAAAGCTTGATCCTAGAAGCACCCTCATATACGATGGCTGTGTGCATATGATTTCTCTTAGCATAAAGTGATAGAAATAGAATCACAGGGTCAAAGGACATTAACATTTTTAAGTCCTTGGTAGAAGTTGCCAAATTGTCCTCCAGAAAAACTTCTACCACTCTACACCCCAGGGCAACCTGGAACCCTCCTGAAGGCATGAAGCTGGCCGGGTCAGGGTACCTCGGCAGCATTAGGATGCCAGTCATTCTCTAGCAGCAGCTTGGAGGGGCCTGGCAGTGACGTGGGGTGCAGGTTGGACTGGAGATAGACAGGATGCTTCCCACAGATGCTCCGAAATCAAGTGTGGGGGAATGACATTAGCACTGCCTTAAGAGCCAGATAACACAGCTGCTAGACCCAGATTGGTATAAGATTCGTTGGGTGATTTTGGACAAGTCAGTTAACCTCTCCAGAGCTCAATTTAATCATCTAGAAAATAAAACATGTAGAGCTAGTTGACTTCTAAGACTCTCATCAGCTCCCAAATTCTGTGATTTCTAATTATTTGGTATCCCTGGATTCGACTTAGCATTGCATATCTCAGAGAGGTCAAGACATTTACTCAGTGACAGTGGCATGTGAGAGAGCCTAGGAATAATCATTTCTGTTATTTAGGCTAGTATTTTTCAGTTTTCAGCAGTTATTATTCCATTTGAGCCTCTCCTCAGTTGAGAACCCCTGTATAGCTGGAGGAGTGATGGTATAGAGATTGAATGACTTCGGTTCCTATTCTGGTGCTTCATGAAGTCTATAGCCAAGCCAGCAGCCAAGGGCTCACTCCATGTAATTTATCCCCCTCTGCACAATTCACACTTTGTCATTTATATGTCAACGTGTTCACAGTTTTCCTTACTTTTTTGATTTATTGTCTTCAAGTCAAGAATCTTGGTTACCGAGTGTCCCCAATCAGGGATAGGACCTGGTGCCCCTCCCAGGGAGGTCCTCACTCTCAGCGTTGGCACCCAGAGTGAGGACACCCTTGCTGCCTCCCTTCCCCCTCCCCACTCCTAGCCTTGTCCCTGATGTCTAGGAAACTGAGACAAACCTACCGGAGCCTGTTTTTTTCAAAGTCTGAAGTGAAGAGGGGAAAGGCGTTGTAGTGAGACACCACAGAATTTCTCTCAATCAATTTACCTTAAATTGTGATGAGCATCCAGAAGGCAGTGGTTACCTGAACCTGGCCACACACTGTCCCCTGGGCCAGCCACCGCAGTCATGGACTATAGTACACATGAGAAGCACCAAACTTCAGCTCCCTAGGCCTCACCTGCAGGGCTCTGGTTTAGTAGGCCTGTTGTAAGACCCAGGCGTTTGCATTTTAGTGAATGCTGGGGGTGATCTTGATGCAGGAGGCTGGTGTCCAACCCCCTTTGAGAAACACTCACACAGATCAGGAGAGGGACTTAAAAGTCCCTGATCCAGTGATCTCAACCCCTTATATACAACAGAGCCATCTGGAGAGTTGAATGGTACTGGGTTGGTTACGTTTCCCAGGACGGGGCCCAGGCATCAGTAATTTTTAAAGCTCCCAGGTCATTCTAACAAGGAGCTGACATGGAGACCGCTGATCGCATCCTCCCACCTCATTTACCATGGGGAAGGAGGGGCCCTGAGCAGGGGAGGGCCTTGCTCCAGGCCATTCAGACCAGAAATTAGGGGCCAGTCTCCAGGTGGAGCAGACATTAAGATTTCCTAGTCAGAAAGATGCTGATTCTGGGGTCTGGGCTACAGGTGTTAGGGGCTTGTCTTCATGGGAGAGAGTTTGGTGCTGGATTCCTGCCCAGACATTCCCCTGTAGCCTGGGATGGGGGGAACTGGACTCACCCAGAGAGGCCAGCACAGCTACTGCCACCAGGAGCAGAGCCAGGAAGAGGTACAGAATCCGCACCGACGTGTGCAAAGACAGGTTCTTCTGGCAGCGGCTGCAGCGGGGTCCTGGCCGACCTGTGGGGGACAGAAGGAGGACAGTGGCTTAGGCCAGGGGCCAAGGCTGGAATGGGAGGGTCAGTTCCACATTCCTGCTCTGGCCTGTCTCATCCCCTGTCAAACGAGGCCCATAGGGGAGTCCCCACTCTCATTCTCTACGGGCTTCACCATATTTCTCCAGGTCCTAGAACTTTCTGGAGTAGAGGAGACAGGGTCAGGGTCTTCCAAGGACACCCTCCATCACCATGGACATTCTCTCTCTCTCTATGGTGTCTTCATTCAGCTCTGGGGTGGGGAAACGCCTCTACCCTCTTCAGTGGCTCTGGCGGTAGTCCACAGTATCGGCAGTCTTGTGGTACTCCTGGGTGACCAGCTTGTCCCCTTCTGCCCTGGACCTTCTAGGTTTTAGCACCCAAACTCTCCTGTCATGGTATCTCCTTGCAGAGTCTGTTTCCCTTTTAGAACTAAAAGCCCCTCCCCCTGGGAAACCCCTGAGCCCCTGGCAAATAAGAACATTGGTCATCAGTCCCCAAACTGGGCAGGTACCAGCAATTCCTCTGGAAACCAAACAAATACGGACAGTCTACCAGTTAGGTGGCTGGTGTGGAGGGAGGAGGGAGCCAGATCTTCCTGGAAACTCCGGCAGGTGCCCAGTGCCCAACTGGAGGTGGGGATGGCCCTGCCTGGAGCTCCCAAGGTGAACTCCACTTCGTCTGCGCAGGATGAGTACCAGAAATGACTGACAATCCTGGTGCCACCTGGTGCACACTCCAGAGTAAAAGAAACCTGCCTTTATGAGAAGCGGTGTCAGGCATTGCTGGCCGATCACAGCACACAGCCAAGGTGGAGAAGGAGAGCTCTAATCCACACCGAAAGCCACCAAGGGCCCTACTCCAAACATCAACGCAAATAGCATGGGAGACCATGGAGGGGACAATCGGGGCACAGAGTCCCCTGATCTGGATAGAGTGTGAGGTCCGTGACAGGGCTCAGGAGCATAGGAGACAGATGGCACTTGTGTCAAATGCTGGCTTCGTCCATATTGCTCAGTCCAGGGCCACGTGGCTCTGCCCTCCACTCTCCAGTAAGCGGTAAGGCAACGAGAGCCAGGATTTTGAAGCCATCTAGTGAGACAAGCCACTCACCATCCTGGAGATGCGCAGGGACTCTCAGCCCAGAGAGGAGGAGGGGCAGCCCCCAGAGCTCTTACCCTCTTGGGTGCACGGGAAGGACGGCATGTCCTCGTCTTCACCAGCCAGTTCCTCTTCGGTAACACACAACGCATCCCCGTCGCCACCAGCCGACCTCACTGCGGTGGAACCAGTGCCATCAGACCCAGGCTGCACCCTAAGCCACGCTCATCCCTCTCCAACAGCCCACTCAGCACCTGTCCCTGCAGCCGTTGCCCACTGTACGCCTGGGTCTGAGCCAGCCCACTCCACCTGAACTCCAGGTGTCCTGAGTTAAGCCAAGAAAAGGGGCACAGAGTTAAGACTTAGGCAGCTGGGGAGCTGGTGTCCCACCCTTCTGGATGAGGGTTCTCCCTATCTCCCGTGGGCTGGGAAAGACCCCTGGGCAGCTCCATGACTTATTCTATCTGCATCTTGCTCAGACCCCTGGGAGTGGAGGAAGAAGAAATAAGAGCTGGTTGATTGATAGGGCTCAGTGTCCTCTCGTGCCCTGACACGTGGTGAGGGAAACAGAATTCCTCTTCTCCAGGGACAAGGCTGAACGTGGTCTCCACCTCGAAGGCATTCATCCCAGGCAAGCCAAGGAGAGGAGGAGGCAGGAGGTGGGAGGACACAGGACGGGCACCACCCCCTGCCTCACATGCCTCATCCAGGACCCGGGGGTGCCAAGGGATCAGGGGAAGAAGACCCCCTGTCTGGAGGCCAATTCGGTGCTTCCTCCCTTGGAGTGTGCAGTCCTTAAATAAGACCCAAATGATGTGTTCCCTCATTCAGAAGGCTGCGCTTGTTTCCCAGACCCCCCAGGCCCCCTAAGTAAGATCTGGTTTTTTTTTTTTTTTTTTTTTGAGCAACAGGAATGAAGATGCCTAAAATAAGGCAGAATAAGCCAAATCCCTGAGGGGATGTTGCAAAATGAGCAAGGGCTTCCTCCAAGCTGACTGGGGATTTTGTTCTGGAAAGCTGGGGATGAAATCTAGATTGTTCCAGAAAAGTCCAGAAAGGGGACTTTAAAACTGCCTCCAAATCCAGAGGCAAACATGACAATAAAACCTTTGCATGGCAAACGAAACAAAACAAAAACAAAAACCAAACACCATGGGCAGGATCAAAAGTCAAGTTCCCAACATGTATCATAGACAAGAGCGGATATGCCAGATTCACAAAGAGCATAAACAATTAAGGAAATAAAGGACCAGACATCCTATAGAAAAATGGGTCACAGACCGGCACGATTTATGAAAAATGCATAAGATGAGCCTTGAACAAATGAAAAGATGTTCCACTTTACTAATAAGATGAATGTGATTTAAAACCACACTGTGATGACGTATCTCACCCATCAGATGAGATACGTCATCACTGGCAAAAATGCAGAGGCCTGACGATACACTCTGCTGGCCGGGCGGTGGGGGGTTGGGGTGGGGACACAAAATGGTCCTCAATTTACGGAGGGGATCTGACATATGCTTTTACTCTCCAGCTCAGCAATCACACATCTATGAATTTATCCAGAATATACACCTCTGACATTGTGGAATGCACGTGACTGTTATTCATTGCACGGTTATTTGTAATTCCTAACACAGGAACTGTCTACGTACAACGGAAGGAGACTGGTTAATGAGCTGTGGTGTGTATTCACAGAAGCGAGCTCTGTGTGGCGATAGAAACAAATAGGGAAATCGCTACTAACTGGTGTGGAATAATTTCCAGGAGATACTAAGTGAAAAAGGGAAGGTATGAAGTAATATATATATATATATATTTAAAATATATATATATATATATATATATATATTAAAACTGGAAAACGGAAACAAATGAGCCTCATTGTATTTGCAGGAGGACAAAGAAAGAAGGAAAGAACCATCCTTAAGTAACTTGTGAGATAGTCCACATGGGTCACCTTGGGATGAGGTTGGTATGAGTGGAAAAATTCAAATGAACCTTGACCTTCTTATGCAGGTTTGCTTCTTGTTGTAGCATGGCTGGAGCAATTCTGAAATTATTTTAAATTAGAATGGGGTTGAGTGAGTGAGCCTTGTGCTGGTGTAGCTTGGACCCAGGGCTCTTTCTTGGGTAAAGGGACACTTGAATATGGAGTGGGAGAGGCAAGAAAGAGCCCCCCAAGAACAGACTGAATGGAAGCTATCAATATGAACTTCAAATTTCTAAAATCTTCATAATTACGTGCTCATATGTATCTACATTTGCAGGCATGTGTATAGGTGCAGCTTTGCCTGTGGAAAGGTCTAGGAAGCAGGTGCTATGGGCAATGGGCATCCTTTGTGAGCCAGGTCTTGATCTCCAGGACCACTTCCCACCAAAAAGAGCCAGGGCTCCTTGGAGAAAAGGCTGGTCCAGGGTAGGGGTCCGGGTAAGATGAACACGGACCATTTTGTTATTCTAAAAAGTGCTTACAAATGGAAGGAAAAGAAAAGATGGAAGGTCACAAGAAATACAAAAGTCAGCTTAAAGATGTTCCCACTGACCCAAACTGGGACAATTTGTGTACTAAAATAATTAGGTATAATGATAAGATTACATGTCATTAAAAATGTAGGGATTTGTGAACTCACAACGATGGATATATAAACAGCAAGGGAGAAGGGAAGGCTCCTTCCTACAGTGGTGCTGGAGTTGGGAAATCAGCACTTGCAATCATGGTAGACACTGGATCAGGCAAGAACCAGCGGTGAGTGCTCCCGAGGGACCATTTTGCCCGAGGAGCAGGTTATGTGTGAGGCCTTAAAGTGTCTCCACACTGGGACCTTATTTGTTGCAAGGAAGTGGAGAACTCAGTACTTAAATACTGGAGAAATCAGGAAGCACGTTGACTAGGTGATCGTCAGTAGTATCACCTAGGAGGGACAGGTAGGCATTGTGAGAGCCTCCACCACCTATGTATTTTACCCACCAAGATGCAAAAGGAAACAGGAGAAAAACACAAAATGAGGATCATCCTATTAAAAACAAAAGTCAGCCAATCTGAACAATCAGTCCTTGAAGACAGTTAAAGGTGAAAGAGTCATGATAGCAACATGCAATACTTGGTCACAGAACAGACTGGATCCTGTGTGGGGGACGAAGGACATCTATAGAGGATATCAGCAAACTGACTAAACTGGAATATGAATAGCAGATCAGATGGAGTATAAATTCATGAAATTCTTAACTCTTCTCTGATTATATTCCTATTCTTAGAGATAAATGACTGTAAAATATGTAGGTTATATTCAAATGCTTTAGAAAAAATTAAGTATGCATATGTGTGTGCATTAAGAAGACTGCAATGTGTATCACGGTGAAAAATCCTGATACATGAAATGTCATGAACACATGATCTTCTTAAGACAATTTCCTAAAAGTAAATTTACTGGATTAGATCACAAGGACATCTTGGTGTTCTGTTTAATCAACAAGTTACTATGGGGGTATATGAATTTTATTTTCACCCACACAGCATATGAATATGTACAGATCTGCTAGACCCTCCCAATAAACTTTATCATAAAAAGTATGAGTTTCATTCAAAGGATCTCCATATTTTATCTTGTGCATTTCAAAATTATTAGCAAAGGGCTGGGGGTATGTAGCTTAGTGGTAGAAGTGTGTGCTTAACACGTGTGAGGCCCTGGGTTCCGTCCCCAGCATGTGTGCATGTTTGTGCACACACACACACACCTACCACACAATTATTAGCGAGACTTTGGACTCTGCCTGGAGGCTCTGGAGACGCCAGTTTCCCGATGGCCGTCTGGAAGATGGATGTTTCCCCCTAGCCTCTTGTTTCTCTCCTCAGAGAACAGATGAGCTGGGGTGAGTAAAAATCTTCACCAACAGGTAAGGCCTGGCACTGACGAGTCAGTATATGTTGTGATCAATCAGAAGGGATGGGGACTGATCCAGGGTGAGAGTGGGACAGCCTGG